TTATTGGTTTAGAGATTGAGCATGTTGAAAAAATCAGAGCTATTATGCATTACTTTTTTTTCTTTCATTGCAATTTCTCTTTAATTTTGCTGCTGACTTATTGCAGCATTAACATTGAGATCTCATTGGTATTTAAAAAAAATTTTAAAGATGTGCAAAAATTCAGAAATGTCAGTCACTCAGTTCTGTTTTTTTTACCTCTCAGATTCTTTCCTATTTATCAAATTTTATATGATTTCAAATTATCTCATTTGATATCTTTATTTTTTTCAGCTATTATTTGTGAATATAGCACTTTACAAAGTACAAGTTTAATAGAAGTATTCCACTTTTTCCTATTCAAAGTCTAATCCATTTTTTTATCTTGGAAGTATCCTTGCAATCCAATTTTTAGTCACTGTGTACTGCTACTGTTCCATCTACCTTGAAAATTGGAAATCTTTTAAGTTCTCTGTTACTGCATGACCTTTGCCTCTCACATCTAGTCAGTATGCATTGTTTTATCTTTTTCTTTAGGTACTCCTAGCCAGATTACTTAATCAAGTACCTAGCCATTCTTAGGTCTGACTTACCTTGCTTTAGGCACTAATTTCCCACGTCAGTCATATATTCTGATATCAAAATAATATTTTTGCATTTAGTTGGCTCTTCAACATCTGCCGCACTAAAATCAGACTGAATTTTTCTCTCTGTTGGACTTTGTTTTGGCATCCTTCTTTATAACTCCCATTATTACCACAATGTGTATTTGTTATTATAACCTGTACCCTTGAGTCTAATATAAAAGAACTTCATTTAAAATATTTTCTTGAGGGGCACCTGTGTGGCTCAGTCGTTAAACGTCTGCCTTTGGCTCAGATCATGATCCCAGGGTCCTGGGATGGAGCCCCACATCACATGGGGCTCCCTGCTTTCCCGGAAGCCTGCTTCCCCCTCTCCCACTCCCCCCTGCTTGTGTTCCCTCTCTCGCTGTGTCTCTGTCAAATAAATAAATAAAATCTTAAAGAAATATAAAATAAAATATTTTCTTGATTCTTCTTCCATATTTATCCCTGCTCAGATTGATAAAGGGTTACTGTATCTGATTTGAAACATTACAACTTAAAGGGATTTGGAGAATTTGACTATTGCACTTTAGAGGGAATTGTTAGGATAAGAAAAGTTTAAAGAATTTAGATTATCTAATCTGGAGGCAAGAAAAGTAAATTATATTTATTGTCTGATAGGTGTTACCAGTTTATAGAGATACTTAAAGAATTAGACCAGAGGTTATTGGCATTTAATTTAAGTTGGATAGTTTGGATAAATTGGAAGGACAAAAGATATACATGTAACTGTGTATCCCCTATGTCTCCCCATCACTTAGTTCACAAATATTTTACTGCCAATGGTGTAGAGCAAGGCTAGGATTTATTTACTCTGATTGCATACCTTGGACAGTGCCTAGAAGGCCACCTACCTGTATAATGAGAGTCTGCCTATTTTGACTTCCTAATCAGGTAATTAAATGTGAGGCAATCAGAGTTATATACTATTTTATCTTTCTATATGCTTTTGTCAGTTTCTAGCATATAGAAAAAAATTATTTTGTTTTATTTCTCTGGTCAGACCAAAAGGTGCTGTGAGTTTTTGTTAGCAGTGAGATTTTGGGAGCACTGTTTTTTAAATCCTGGGAGATGCTATGAAGGACATATGTTTCCTTGTAAATTATTAGTTATAAGTCTTAATGGAGATTGGAGATTAAATTTGATGACTTTTTAACGTTCTTTCAAACCTATAATTTCCGTTCCGTTTCCTGGTCCTGTCATTAAATTTTCTTATCCTCATGAACATAATTTATTATTTATTGCAGATTTTATTACTGCTACACTGGTAATATATAAACTATGTGTTAAATATGAAGTGGGTTTGTTAACTCTGTGTATGTGGAGCATGAATGAACACGTTGTTACTAAATTGGTTAGAGAGTTCTTGCAAAATTAATGATTGAATCAAGAATTGCTTGTTAGTTCAGTGAATAATTATAAGAAATGCTACTTTATTGTTATGGAGATTGTAATGTAAGAGTGACTTGTTTGTGATACACTTCTTTTTTTTTTTAAAGGATTTAATTTGTTTTATTTTTTTTAAGGTTTATTTATTTATTTATTTGAGAGAAAGAATGAGAGAGAGAGAACACATGAGAGGGGGGAGGGTCAGAGGGAGAAGCAGACTTCCTGCCGAGCAGGGAGCCCGAGGTGGGACTCGATCCCGAGACTCCAGGATCATGACCTGAGCCGAAGGCAGTCGCTTAACCAACTGAGCCACCCAGGCACCCTGTGATACACTTCTTTTGAGAATTGTAAAACCATATTATAAATTGTCCTTATTGAAATGGTGAATAGCATTCTGTCTTCTTGCTTGTTTTAATTATTTTTAAAATGTTTCTCTATGCAGTCTTAAGTAAGGTTTTTCACAACTCCATTTATATACATTTGTTAATTTGACTCCATGTTTACATTTTACTAAGTATGGAGTTAACATTTTGTAATGATTGGTAAAATTTGGAATTACATTATGATCTGGATGAAAAAATATTTCAAGTAAATTATAACTTAATTGAATTCAAAGTTAAATTTATTCTAATACTTCACGTTCTGCCCCATTTTATAAATAAGAGCCTAAACCTCAGCATGGTTAGGGGAAGACCTTTTGGTTGACAGTTTAGCTGTTGTGTAATCTAGATGTACTCTGAAGCTATGGCTATTAATATCTACGCTAATTCCTTTATAGTGTTGTATTTATTAAGGAGGCACAATGGAATTCTGAACGAAAGAAAAAGAGGTTTGTTGGGTTAATAGCTGCTACCCTTTCTTTTCATCCTTTCTTAAGACACTGCTTCCTTTGTTGGCCAGGGAAGGGCTAAAAGGAATATTTTGAGGTTTTTCTTTTTATATGTCAAACTGGTTATTAATAAGAAAACCTAATTTCCTCTGGGAAGCTTGTCAATATTCCCAAGGCTGGTCCTTTCTACCTTCCACCTACTCACAGGTCCTTTTCTGCTCTGTTCCCTACTAACCTCTTTTCTAACTGTACTTGATTAACAAAGCAGTGGGTGGGTGTGATTTAGACTCTAGTTTATGTTATAGTTGAAATATTTAAAAGGATGTTATGTGGCAAAGGAATGAGGTTTATTGGATGGCAGCAAAAGGAAAAAATGGGTAGAAATGGAAAGATTGCTCAAAGTATGGAACAAATTTCTAAAAGAACTATTCAAAATTAGGATTAACCACCTCAAGACCTTTCTGGGAATGCTGTAATAAAATGTTAGACTAACTGACCTATAACGTTGTTTATAACACTGAGATTCCGGGACTTAATAATTGTGTGTGTGTATATATGTGTGTGTGGGTGTGTGTGTATATATATAATCTATTTATTTATACACACACATACATATATCTTACCTTATTTGTTTCTCTAAACTGCTGCCTTAGAAGTTATAGTTTATATCTGATGGCCTGTAGTTTCTCTGTAATATATCTGAGTATGGGGTTCATTTTCATTTATCTATTTAGGATTTAGTGTGTGCTTCTTCAATCTGCTAATTTAAGTCTGTCTTCAAGTCTGAAAAAAATCTTTTTATCACTGAAGATTTTGCCTTTACTTTTCTTTGTTTTTCTTTCTAGTACTGCAATTAGACATCTGTAGAGCCTCTCATTTTGTCTCCCTTTTCTCTGAACTGCTCTTTAGTGTTTTTCATCTCTTTATCTCTTTGTGAATGTCTGAATAATTTCTTCAGATATTCTTCTAGTTTACTCATTCTGTCTTTAGCTTATCTGCTGTTTAACCAGTACATTGTGTCACTAATACTAATGTTCATAGCAATACTTTTTTTTAAAAGATTTTATTTATTTATTAGAGAGAGAATGAGAGATAAGGAGCATGAGAGGTAAGAGGGTCAGAGGGAGAAGCAGACTCCCCGCTGAGCAGGGAGCCCGATGTGGGACTCGATCCCGGGACTCCAGGATCGTGACCTGAGCCGAAGGCAGTCGCTCAACCAACTGAGCCACCCAGGCGCCCCTATAGCAATACTTTTTTAATAGTAGCAAAAAAATACAAAAACTACAATCCAAATGCCCATCAACAACAGAATAAAAAATATATTTGGTATTCAATGGGATATGACACAGCAGTGTAAATATGCAAACTGTAGCTGTGTGCAACAAGTGAGATGAATCTCAGAAACATATTGTTAAGCAAAACCATACAAAATTAAATGATATAATTTTTAGGCCTATGCAGATATTGAACCAAGGTTATAAAGACAAGCAAGGGAATAATGAACAAAATTCAGTTTAGAGATCACCTTAGAGGGGAAAGGAAGGTGTGATTGGTTAGGTTGAGGCACCCAGATGACTTCAAAGGCAGTAATAACGTTCTTTATCTTCAACTGGGTGGTGTTAAATAAATGTATGTTGTGTCATTCTACTATACACATATTTTCTAAATTTCTTTTGCACCTACTCAGTATTAATAAAAACATTTTAAAGACCTTAAAAAGTAAAAATAGAATGTACTCTGAGAGCAAATGAATACAAGTATAAGTTAATTATCAGCACAAATATCTTTGAAGGAATAAATTTAGTTTGGAATTGGCTTGTTCAAATAATTACTGAATTCTCATTTTGCCTGTTATAATAGCATTTTTTAAAGCTTAAAGTATCATTTTCTCTTTAACACATTCTTCTATATTTATTTATAATAGAAAATATTACATAAATTATTGTATTTTAAAACAATTTAAAAAATTAAGGTACAGGTCCCAAATAAATGTAATATATTCACATCCTTATTGAGAAGCTTTATGGGGACAGTTAAGCCCTTTGCTATTTTTCTCCTGTGATTGACATGACAGCAGTCTGTGGAGTTAGCCGTGTGATTATGTACATATTGGAATTACTTTAGGTTATTCTTTGAAAATAGGACTTCAAGCAAGGCATCTTGTATTCCTTTTGCAGAAATGTTGCTGAAGTGCTGCTGAAAGGGCCAGAGATGCAAGGATTTGGGACACATTTTGAACCTTTAAGCTGACATTGACCTCGTTTCATTATTAATAAAGAAGAAGCAGGAGCTTAGGATGTATTAACACCAACTCATTAATATACTAACCGGACAATGTTCTGCAACAATTCTACATTGTAAAGAACTGGATTGGCACTAAATAAAATAATTTCATATTTTACTCAGCTTATAATATGACTCAATGGAGGAAAATTTGATAAGCATGAGGGAAGACTATTCTTTTCATGTTCGTTACAGGTAAGACTACTGCTTTCCTGGTGGTTTTTAATCCTTATTTAAACATGTATTTAGCTCTGATCATTTCAAATTTAAATTCGAGTGTATTCAAAATATACTAGCCTTAGTATCTCCTATAAATAATATTTTCTTTTTGTTGTGTTTGTTATAAGTTTTTATATCCTTTCTATAGGAAAATGGTGGTGAAGATCAATTATATATTATTGTTTATTAATGTTTTGTGGACGAGTTTATGAATAGTTACTTTATATTTTCTAACCATTGTAATGCAAATATAAAAATGAAATATATTTCTAAATGTTTAGGGTAAAAGATGGATTTGTAATATGGTCAGATGAATGACCTAATTTTTGTGTTTCAGTTTTGAAATGGTGATCTTTTATAAATGAGCTTTTTAAAAAGTGGGTAACGTTGAAAGGGGTGGGTACTTTCTCAACATGATAAACTAATAGCCAGTTTAATATTTAGTGATAAAATATTAATGACATTTTGGATACATTTAGGAACAAAGTGGTGATATCTGCATCATTATTTAACATTTTATTCTAAAAGTTCTGGTCGTTGCACTAAACAATAAAATGAACATAAACATAAATACTGGAATGAAAGGCATGTAATTATTAGGGTTTTCAGAATACTAATAGATTCTTTATCAAAACTGTTTTAAGTTAGTATTAAACATCAGAACTTGTAGCAATGGGTAGTATTCAGCATCTCTATTAAGTTGAAGTTGTTGATTACCAAATCTTAGATATCTTAACATATGTTTAGGAAATAGATTTGTTGTCTTTTGGAGCAGATGATTCATGTTAGGGCAGGGTGCCACCACCGAGGTTTATATAGGTAAGATGAGGATATTTCTTTTAAAAAAGAAGAAGAAGAAGAAGAAGGGGCGCCTGGGTGGCTCAATTGTTAAGCGTCTGCCTTCGGCTCAGGACAAGATCCCAGGGTCCTGGGCTCAAGTCCCACTTTGGGCTCCTTGCTCAGCGGGGAGCCTGCTTCTCCTTCTCCCTCTCCCTGCTGCTCCCCCTGCTTTTGCGTGTGCTCTGTCTCTCAAATAAATAAATAAAATCTTTTAAAAAATAAAAATAAAAAGTTTTGAATAAAAGAAATGGAGGACATTCAACATAATTAAAATGAGCTTTTATTATATGAAAGGCCCTCACTCTACCCTTTTGGGCATAGTTCCAGAAACCTGGGAGTTATTTTACATGCTTTTTTCCCTTCTTCTTCTCTATCCAGTGTGAAGTCATGCCAGTTGATCCTAAATGTTGATCCAGATCTACCCATCTGGATCCTCCCTATCCCTGCAATAGTTTAGGCCCCCATCATCTTCCTTCCAGACTTGCTCTATTCTCCATTCTTTTTTTTTTTTTTTTTTTTAAAGATTTCATCCATTTATTTGACAGAGAGAGAAAGAGCACAAGTAGGGGGAGGAGCAGACAGAGGCAAAGGGAGAAGCAGGCTCCCCACCGAGCAGGGAGCCCAATGCGGGCTTGATCCCAGGACCCTGGGATCATGACCTGAGCCGAAGGCAGATGCTTAACCACTGAGCCACCCAGGCGCCCCTCTATTCTCCATTCTTACCTCTTAGAATCCATCTTTTTAATTTGCTGCTAGAGGGCTCAGTCTAAAAACACAGAGCTAACTACACAAATTCTGCTTTATGACTATGGTGGCTCCTAGTCACCTGTAGGGCAGAGTCAAGCTTACCATAGTATGCAAGATCTTCCATTTTCTAGCCTCTGTGTATTCCTTTGTCCTTACTTTCTCTGGTCCTCACCTTGCACTTTGAGTTCTGGTTCCCTATACATGTCTTGCTCTTCCATGTTCTGTGCCTTTGCTCATGCTGCACCCTATGACTTGAATTATCTACTCCTGGAAACCATTTCTAAACAGTATATTTTGACTATGTGCCCTCCCTCTGCTTACATAACATCCTTTGCATATTTCTTTCTTTGCATCAACTGTATTAAAATTCATTGTATCTGTTTATATGTTTGTCTCCTCGACTATTCCCTTCTTTGACCATTAACTTCCTTAGGGCAGCCATGATGCCTAGCTTGTTGTCTGACTCAGTGCAGGTTTGATGAAATGTCCATTGAATTCCATTGGACATAACTATCAGATGAATCTAGTAAGTAAGATTTTATCTGTCTTACTAAACATTTTCAAGAATGGTATACTTCTTAATACTGTAAGAGCAGCAGGTAAGGAGTGGATTATACTTCTCCCTATAGGAAGGTCTTAGATTTGTCCTTCTTCCATGATAGGTCAAATATGGTTATATACTGGTATAAGACTTTACCAAAAGAAACTTTAAACTCTGTAACTATTTTTAGTAAGAATGTGCCAAACAGAGCTCTGGCTTCATCAGTGTTCTAAGATCAGCATTCTGTATATTAACTGGATTGTTGTATAATTGCAGATAATACTTTGTGTCCTTTATGTTAGGAGTCATGGCCTAGTATAAATTACTATTCTACTCTGGTAAACAGGTAGCATGTAATGTGTTATCCATATGGTTCTTTCATTGTGGCAGTCCTCATCCATCCCTGGAGGAGTTTCTGTGGCACAATGAGTTCGTAATTTTGAAATGAGATAATCCTTCAAACACTAAGGAACCTCCTGAGAGATATCATAATGCTTTATGAAATATTTTGTGACCTGTTTGTGAAGGTAAAGAGAAATGGAGACTGATAGTAAAATGAAATTAGTTTCTAAACTTTAAAATAGTATCTGATTGATTTTAAATTAATTATCATTAATTTTTTAGGCATGATATTAATTTTTTTGAAAGTGACTGGTGATGGGTATTAAAGAGGGCACGTATTGAATGGAGCACTGGGTGTTATACGCAAACAATGAATCATGGAACACTACATCAAAAACTAATGATGTAATGTATGGTGATTAACATAACAATAAAAAAGAAAATGACTCTCTTTTAGAGATATATACTAAGATATTTACAAGTGAAATTGTATGCTTTCTGGAATGTACTTCAAAAGAATCTGGGGTTGGAGAGTGAGGTTGGAAGTAGAGATGAAACATACAATATTATATATTGGTAATGTTGATGTTGAAAGATGGATATATCAGGTTCATTATCAAACTAGTTTCTCTAGTTTTGTATTTGAGAAATTTCTTTGTTCATACTTGTTACTATGGATAATAAACACTTCAGTACTTTCATATTGTAAAAATTAGACCATTGTATTCAATTAGACCATTGAATACAATTTTGGTGTTGAATTCTTCTGTTTTGCTAGGTAAATGTAGTTGTTAATATTCTTTCCTCAAGAAGAGTTTGAGGTAATGTGGAATGGTGGAAATAGCACTGGGTTTGGAGACAAAGATAGGATTTCATTTCTCAGCTTTGCATTCCCATGATCTTATTAATAGGTCGTTCAACCTGTCTGAGCATCATTTTCCTCTTCTGTAATAATACCTATCTCAGGGTTATTTTGAGAGTTAAATTTGATATATAGTAAAATCACTTTTAAAACTAAGTTACCAATCAAAATTCAAATCTAAAGATAAATTTACACTACTTTCTCTTTCACAAAGTAAACTAGAATTAACTAGATATATGTGGTAAATTGAATGGATGAAAATTGTTTGTGGGGGGTAGGATTGATAATGGAAAAGATCCATGCTCAATCAGAACCCATAGAAGGTGGAGGGAGCTAAGGTCTATAAAAAGAGATTTGACAGCTGCAGAAGACAGCACAATGAAGATGCAGAGCCCTCTTGTTTTGAGTCTGGAGTCCTCAACCCCATCGTTTATTCTTAAATAGTATGTAAACCCTTTGAGGGTAGGATCCGATTTGAACATAATCTGCATTAAAACTTTTAAAATGGTGTAGCATTGAGGTTTTTAATCCTCTTTTGCTTTCATTGGTATACCATGAACACAAGAAACCAAAATTAAGGAGGTAAAGGAAAAAAAATCTAGTGTGGAAGAAAAGTAAATAATAAAATATAAAAATCATTGAAATGACATGAGTTTGTGCAAAAATGAGGAATTATAGCTCTAATGGTCTATTAGCAAAAACAAAAACATTTCAGTTAAGGATAGTAGTAGTGTGTTTATTTATAGTTATTAGGAATGTACTTTCTTTGATTATACAACTAGATAGGCCATTAGGAAGAACAAAAGAAACTTTGTATGTGGGTTGTATGTTAATGGAGTTATTTTCCGCGTTTGTCTTCTACTCTGGGTATGTTCTTTGTTTCCAACCCAGCTGGTAAATAAATGAAGTAATTCTATTGTCTCATAGAGACAAAGAGGATATGAAATTACTTTCTCTCTTACTATTTAATGATCTTCTAAAAAATTTATAAATCAACCTGCCTTGGACTACTTTGCAATTAGATATATTTGATTGAGGTGTTGGGAGATTGTGCCAGAATATTGACTTCTTTTCTAATAAAACTATACCAGAACCACAATATTTCTTAGAATTAGTCATAAACTAGAGAGTTTTGGACTTTATTTTGGGAATTAGTTACTGAAATAACTTTGCTAAGGTAGTTTCCCTTACAGGGTATTCTTACTTCATGGACTTCAGAGACAGCTGAGTAGCCAGCAGGGTTCCAGTTTGCTGTCATTCTTTCTAATGAAAATTATCTAAAATGCCTTTTTAAGGGGGCGCCTGGGTGGCTCAGTCACTTGGGCGTCTGCCTTCCGCCCAGGTCATGATCTCAGTGTCCTGGGATCAAGTCCTGCATTGGGCTCCCCACTCAGCAGGGAGTCTGCTTCTCTCTCTCCCCCTCTCTCCCTCTCTCCCTCTCTCCCTCTCTCCCTCTCTCCCTCTCTCCTTCCCTCTCTCCCTCTCTCCCTCTCTCCCTCTCTCCTTCTCTCCTTCCCTCCCTCCCTCTCTCTCTCCCTCCCTCCCCCTCTCCCTCTCCCCCTGCTGGTGTGTGCATGCACTCGTGCATGCTCTGTGTCAAATAAATAAAATCTTTAAAATAAAATGCCTTTTTAAAAATTTGTAGCTCTTATGACACTATTTAGTCTATAGCTAAATTAATATTATATACAACATCATTTGGTTTGATGGTTCCAGAATAATTACAATAAGTTTAAATCCAGAAAGTCAAATATTTGTGCTGGAGATATTTATTTGAAGAAGACATTTCTCTGGTTTATATGGATATAGCAAACATGTTGTAAATTTCCAATTTTTACATGTCTTATATCTGAATAGCCAGTTCTACCTTATCTCTGATTTCCTGGCCAGCCAGCTACCCATCCTGAACAGATGGTGCTGTTGTGTGTAACTATTTCTCTCCCTCTCCCTCAGTGAATACTCAGTGAATACGATCATTAGTATTGCATTGTACCATGCATGTAATTTTCTTTAATACTCTATTGATGGACATTTGAATTGTGTGGGTCTTTTTGCTGCTGTGAACATCCTTTCACATATTTTTTTTGAATTTGTGTACCTCTAGATTTAATATCAATTCCTAGCAGTGAAATTGCTCAATATATAATTTACATAATTGGAATCATGCTTAAATTAAAATTTTTTAATAGAGGGGTACCTGGGTAGCTCAGTTGGTTAAGCTTCTGCCTTCGGCTTGGATCATGATCCCAGGGTCCTGGGATCGAGCCCTGCATTGGGCTCCCTGCTCAGTGGAGGATCTGCTTCTCCCTCTGCCTCCCTCTACTTGTATTCATGTGCGCACGCTCTCTCTTGCTCACTTAAATAAATAAATAAAATCTTTCAAAAAATAAAAAATTTTAATAGAAAAAGTAATATATTTTATATGTAAAAATACATTTTCCAATTTCTTTCCTATGGTAATTTCTTGAAAGTTCAGTGGTTTTGGTATTCAGACATAAAGACACCTCGTTTTGGTAACTCATCTAGCAGAAGAATCCTTTAATAAAATCACATTTTTACATGGTAGTCTTTTGCTACCTCATTTCTCTTCACACACAGAATATACTGGTAACCTTATAAAACCTTAAACAAAAATATTTTTATTTATGAAGTCTCTAATTTTCAGAAATACAGTTCTAAAGGGCAGTTTTTACTTGTGAAAAACAAAAATTGGTTTTATTAATTTGAAATGACATGAAGAAATATAGCAATTTACGTTTTCTGATTTAACCGATTTTCCCATGTACTTAAGATCTTCCGTCTTTTATCTAATTGACTTAGTCTAATGTTGAAGCAAAATGTTAAATAGAGGTTTACTTGCATTATTTTGCCTAGATCATAAAGTGAGGGTGAAATCACTAGTCTATGAACAGAGAGTATCCTTTGGCTAAATTACTTGAATTATAAAAAAAAAAAGATACCTGCATGTAAAACTTAAAAATTACCTATCAGAGATGACTACGTAAATCTATTTATCCCGAACTAAAAGCCAGCTTTGAAACTTTGCAATTGGCTCTGTTAATCTTAGGCCATACTTTTCTTTTAGACTTATCAGATTTATTTTCTACTTTTGCAATTCCATTTTAATTTATGGCTTGAAGGAACCTTGACATTTTATAGGCCAAAAGAAGTAGCTGAAGAAACATGTTAATTGCCCTGCTACTAGAAATACAAAAGTATAATCGTGTTTGAATGAATTTAGGGTGAGTGGTGGTTTAATTCACATTTCCTGGTAAAGCAGTGATTCTCAACTCTGGCTTGTATGTTGGAATTACCTGGAGGTATTTAAAAAATACTGCGAGCCAGACCTCATACCCAGAGAGTGGGACCCAGGATTGAGAGTTTTATTTATTTATTTTTAAAGATTTATTTATTTATCATAGAGAAGGGCAGAGGGAGAGGGAGGGAGTCGTAAGCAGACTCCACCCTGAGTGTAGAGCCTGACACGGGGCTTGATCTCATGACTCTGGAGATCACAGCATTAAGATCACCACCTGAGGCGAAACCAAGAGTTGTACGCTCAACCACAGCCACACCACCCAGGTTCCCTGCATTGAGAGTTTTAAACACTCCACATGAACTCTGCCGTTGTGCAGCCAGGATTAAGAATCACTGCTGTTAGAGTTGTTCAAAGCTAATTCTAGTAAGGAGTAATTTCGTGTTGCTCACAAAATTAAAATGCTTGATGAGCTCAATCAGGGTTTTCTAAAGGGTGATATGTGTACCAGTCGTATTACATAAAGTAATTTTACTTTTTTATTTTACTTACATATTTGTCTTAATGTGCATTAGAAAATAAACATAAGTATCACATCAAACAGTTCCATGGATACTGCTTTGGATGAAGCTAGAGGTTTTATTTAAGGACATGTGCTGATTTCAAAATTTGCCAAATTATAGAAACATATTTAAGGGAATGATTAGGTAATACATAGACATAGCAGAAATCATAAAAATGTTGAAGAAACACAGTGGCAACTTTTGTGAAAGGCACCTACTAAAGTCTAGGATTAGAACCTGAAGTATCAGTGCTTTTTCTTCTACATAGATTTACAGTAACTTAATTCTTCTGGCTTTTAAAAATCCAGTGACAGACTTTGAGAATTAGAATTTCTGCAAATCTTTTAAATTATTCCTAACATAAAGTTTCTTGACAGTTCTCATGGATGTGTGCCTTATAGATCAAAATATTTTGCTCCTCTTTTTTTCTGAGGTATAGATGACCATGTGGTGAGACAGGAAGGAGTGTGTGTCTGTATGAGTGTATGAGACAGAGAAAGAGGTAAAGATGGTAGTAGGAAGGGTTGATGGACAGGTGAGTAGATCACTTCAATATGTGGATAGAGAAGGGTGTTAATTATAGGCCTTCACCTTCCCCAGGTACCTGTTTTCTCCCCAAACTCTCAGGAAGTCTGTAAGACTGCCACAACTCAGAATACTTTAGGAAACATTACTTTAGTTTTTCTCATTGGTAAAGTGGGTTGCTCTGGATGGGCCATTTAAACTGGGCTCCATACAGAGATATTTAGCTATCCTTTATAAAAGAGCTCTGAGGCTCAGAGATATTTGATTGGGCAAATTAGCACATGCTATAAATAATAGTTTACTGTTTTATCAATAATGTATATCTACTTCAATTATAGAGGCAGCTTTTCTGAGCAAGAGTAGCCACAGTCAACATTAAAATTACATTACCTGAAGTTAAAAATACTGTGGTGCAGTTGTAATGTAATGTTGTAAATGTCTGTCCTATATAATTTTATAGAATGGAAGCTTCTTGCCTAGAACTGGCCTTGGAAGGGGAACGTCTGTGTAAATCAGGAGACTGCCGTGCCGGTGTGTCCTTCTTTGAAGCTGCAGTTCAAGTTGGAACTGAAGACCTAAAAACACTTAGTGCTATTTACAGCCAGCTGGGCAATGCTTATTTCTATTTGCATGATTATGCCAAAGCATTAGAATATCATCATCATGATTTAACTCTTGCAAGGTAATTTAAGCTTTTTAATACCCTTTCTCCCTAAATGTCCCTTAAAAAAATATTTTCATTCAATTAAAAAAATGAACTTAATACATTTTAGTGAGTTCTAATTCAATAGCATTGCATTCTAAAACTAGTCTTTAGGCTGATCACAGTTTAATTAAATGAATTAATAGTACTGAAACGACCCTAGAGTTTAATTAAATGAATGAAAATTAATTAAATTTAAATACAGAAATGTCCGTTTTAAATTTTTATTTAAAGTAGGTTTCAAGGCTAGTGCATGTCAGTTGTCTTCTGGGAAAACTATACTCTGGCTGCTTTATTTTTAACACCACTTCCCTTTTTTTTCTTCCAGGACTATTGGAGACCAGTTGGGGGAAGCCAAAGCTAGTGGTAATCTGGGAAACACCTTAAAAGTTCTTGGGAATTTTGATGAAGCTGTAGTTTGTTGTCAGCGACACCTAGATATTTCTAGAGAGCTTAATGACAAGGTAATAAGGAACATTAGATGGCAGCCCAAATGTTTTCATTGAAATTGCTTTGTGTTTTAATACTATTTAATTATTCTGTAGTTTACTAAAAGTTAATACCAAAAAAAATTCATAGAAAAAATAAAAAAAATTTAAAATAGCAAAGAAAAAGAAAATAACACATTCTTCTTTCATAAGTAATCATTTGTTTGGTTCTGTATGGATGGCCAATGTAAACATTTTCTTGACCATCAAGGATATTATAAATAAATATGTGATTGGCATTAGAATACCTGGCTTCTGATTTCAAAATGTAAATTCTGCTGACATCTTCATCTAGGTGGGAGAAGCAAGAGCACTTTACAATCTTGGAAATGTGTATCACGCCAAAGGGAAAAGTTTTGGCTGCCCTGGTCCTCAGGACATAGGAGAATTTCCAGAAGAAGTGAGAAATGCCCTTCAGGCAGCTGTGGATTATTATGAGTAAGTAGCACTGATGCAGTCATGTGGCCCACCTAAGCCTTGGATCTAGTCTACATTCTCTATCCAGTAATACATTTTTAAGTTTGTCAGAGGTTTTAGAATTATGGACTAGCAAGTAAAAATAAACCATCAAATTGCTGCTAACTGTTTTAGTGTTAGTGGTAATCCCCTCCCAGGAAAGCTTTCCTTTAAACTGTTAACCAGTGCCACTTAGTGGCAAAAACAAGAAATATCAATCATTAGCCTAAGTTATGTGGAGTAAATTTAGTCTCTTAACTAGTAGAATTTCATAGAACTTCTTAGCTGTAAGGGTTCTAAGATTGACCCCATTTTTGACTTTGGACAGAAACCTGCCTGAATGATTCAGTAAAGTGTTCCCAGTTATTTAATATTCCCAGTTCTCAGTGTTCCCAGTTCTCACCCTCCATCATGGATATATCTTTTTTTTTTTAAGATTTTATTTATTTATTTAGAGAGAGAATGTGCACATGAGCGGGGGCAGGGGCAGACGGAGAGGGAGAGAATCTCAAGCAGATTTCCTGCTGAGCACAGAGCCAGATATGGGGCTTGATCTTACGACCCTGAGATGATGACATGAGCCGAAATCACGAGTAGGACACTCAACCAACTGAGCCCCCAGGCACCCCTTTCATAGATATGGCTTTAAAATGTGGCACATTATGGCTCTAAGCTTATGTAAAATTTTTTTGATAAAAAGAATTTGATTTGTAAGTCTAATCAATACATTTTTTTCTCAAACTTATTTTTTCACAACTTTTGTTACCATTTAGGGAGAACCTATCACTAGTGACTGCTTTGGGTGATCGAGCAGCCCAAGGACGTGCCTTTGGAAATCTTGGAAATACACATTACCTCCTTGGCAACTTCAGGGATGCAGTTATAGCTCATGAGCAGGTATAGTGCAAGGCTTCGGAGCCAGATCGTTTTCTCCATCAGTGTTTTGAACAGTGATTAGATTATTCTTTAGTTTTATTATAGCTATATCTAATTAGAATTCTCTGTTTCAGCGTCTCCTTATTGCAAAAGAATTTGGAGATAAAGCAGCTGAAAGAAGAGCATATAGCAACCTTGGAAATGCATATATATTTCTTGGTGAATTTGAAACTGCCTCTGAATACTACAAGTTAGTCTAATATTTCTGTAGATAAATGTAAAATGAGTAGTTATGCAATCCTATTAAATGATAGGCTTTGGGTTTAAAACCTGCTTTTTGCACATACTAGCAATAGGACCTTGTGCTTCTAAGCCTCAGTTTCTTCATCTGTAACGGATAATGCCAATTCCTTGCTTTTGGTATTATTGTGAGGATTGAATAAAAGAATAAATTCAGCACTTACTTTGCATAGGACCTGGTATTATTGTACCTTAGGTTTAATGGTAGTGGTATGACTCCTTTATATTTTTGTAAGTTTTTATCTTTAAAACTAATTGTTTTTAAATGAAATTCTAAACTTTTACAGTCTTTTAAACCTGTTTAGCATGTGTGGTGTGTGTGTGTGTGTTTATTTATTTATTTCCCAATTATGTGTTTGAAGAAAAGCCACAAGAAAGCCTGATAACAAAAATATGCCCTAGTTTTTGCCAGTGATCACTGAATTTTTTTCCCTACCATCGCACCCCCTTGTTGAGCAGTTCTCCCACTCTCCTCTGCCCATCTTTGGTCCTCACCGTAAACTGAGGCCCCATTCACTTACCTGAGGAGTTGGCAAACCCAGCTTCTTCTGGGCAGGGTCTTTCTGATCTATCAGTAGACTTGAAACATAGGTAATAGCAAAGTGTAGACTGTTTGAGACTGTCCGGTCTATGCTTTATAGTTTGGAATTTTCTCTAGTGGGGATTGAAGTCCCATGCAGACCTTAGGCAGAAGCCAGTTTGAACCACAGGTAGTGATTGATTTGTATTTTATTGTTAAAGAATCCAATGTGAGAGAGTTTTGGATAGTTTGTTATCTAAAAAGACGGTAAAATTGCTTTGGGTCCATCTAAAAAACTAGAATGTCATCCCATCCTACTCTAAACATTGACCAATGGTTAATATTTATTGGTTGGTTAAATATGAAATATCCTTCCAAATAAAATATATTACTATATAAGAAGTATATATTTTTATTTTAAATAGGAAATTTCTTATATTTTAAAGCAAAAGACATACAAATATCTTAATAAATGATCTGCTTGTATTAAATACTGAAAAGTTCTGTAAGAATGTGGATGGTGGCTATTTGACTAAAAAGCATGAGTATAAAGTAATGAAACTTCCTCCCACTGCCCTCTCCATAAGTAGGCTAGAACTCAGATAGAACTCTCCTTTAGAATTGTTTTCACGACCACACAAGAAGACTGTCTTAACAGTTTAAAGATTTTTTTAATTATTCATGAGAGAGAGAGAGAGAAGCAGAGGGAGAAGCAGGCTCCCCACAGAGCAGGGAGCCCAATGTGGGACTGGAGCCTGATGCGGGACTCGATCCCAGGACCCCAGGATCACAACCCGAGCTACAGGCAGACACTTAACTGACTGAGCCACCCAGGTGCCCCTGTCTTAACATTTTAAATTCATATCCTCAGGATAGAAAGCAGTAGTTTGGTAAACCTACTTTAGCAAATGAATTTGGTTCCAGAAGGACTTCTGAACATTTACAAATTAACTATACCCTCAAAGAATAATGGTGTGCCAGAAAGATACCCCAGGATCTGAAAGCAAATCCAAAAGTCTTCCAAAAATGTATGAGAGGAGGCAATATTACAATATGTATGTAATAAGTGTGTAGCCTCCCAAGGTAACAGCTTTGAAGGTGGTATCATTAAATATATAATTTCAGGTTTGCTTAAAACTATCAGATTATCATATACTTCTTTTTCATATAAGTATAAATCATATGAAATATGATTTATGAAATATGAAATATTTATACTCTTTGGCAGAAATAATAGCCATTTAAGTTATTGGATCTAAAGCATCTGCAGGATTAAGTGCTGACGATAATAACAAAACAGTATTAACATTTATTATCATATACTGTGAACAAGATGCTATTCTAAGCACTTCATGTATACTAATTCATTTAATCCTCACAAAACCCTGGGAGATATTTTCCTCATTTTACATATGAAGAAACAGAAAGAGGTTGAATGACTTGCCCCATTACAGAGCTAATAATTGGCAAAGTTGGGATTTGAACCCAGTCTGGCTCTAGGGTCCACACTCTTAGCTTCTCATTGACGATTCAATGAGTATTAGGTAGAATTTGGTTAATGTTTAAATATGGTGTTTAATGTTTTTCATGAATCAGTGACTAATAACCTATACATTAGAATTTTTTTTTCCTATACATTAGAATTTTAACTAAGTATTTTAAGTTTTGACAAAATGCAAAGACAACAGTCCGATGCAAAGAGAGGTTATATGGACAAAATTCTCTTTAAGTTATTGCTACTACAACTGGGACGGGTTTTTTTTAATGTTAAAAATACTATATTATATAATCTTTAGAGGTACTTGATCTCATATGTCAATATTCTTTTTCTCTAAAGAATTAATAGGACTCTCAAATTTATTCTTAGAGTTTGGATTTGGTTTTTGTGTTTCCAAGACATCTTTTCATTTTGTCTAAACATAATGGAGAAAGTGTGGGATATTAAACTCTAAAATAGATTTACTTTAAAGGCAGAAGGAAGAATGAGAGTTTGATTTTACAGTTATTATAGCCAAAAATAAAAATGATCATTGTGTAAGAATTAATTCCTTTTTTTAGAAAGACACTACTATTGGCTCGACAGCTTAAAGACAGAGCTGTTGAAGCACAGTCTTGTTATAGTCTTGGAAACACATATACGTTGCTTCAAGACTACGAAAAGGCCATTGATTATCATCTGAAGCACTTGGCAATTGCTCAAGAGCTAAATGATAGGTAAGTTATACACCTTTTTACTATAATTATAAAATACAGGTGCATTATTGAATCCCTAGAATTTTTCCTTTGTTTTTGTTTCCTTTGTTTTGTTTTTTAATTCTTTTTCAAGGAATTTCTTCTGTTTTTAGTCACCTCTTTATATTATTGTTTGAAGGGCTAGCATGTCTGAGAAGATTAGACTGATCCATATAGCCTTGAACCAAGACGTAAATAGGTCACAAACTCAGTTGCCTACAAAGGTCCTCCTGACTAGATCAGTATGAGAATTGTGGTCAACTTACAGATAACGCCCAATGTAAAGGGCACAGCTGCTCCTCAGCTCCAGCTCCTTGTTGCTAGGCAGGACCGAGGATGTTATGTCTATATACTCCTCTTTTTTAAAGAGAAGCTGGAAGTCCTGAGTTTTATTTGAAATCTTCTGATTTTTAAATGTTGGTGGCTAATTAAAAAAAAAACTGTATGAAAAAGCAGTGTATCTGTGCATTCATTTAGTCTGTGATGTTTGTTTAGGAAGACAGATTTTTACTTCATTATAAAGAACTTCTCTGTAGTTGTTCAAAATGAAGTATGCTACTTCTAGCGAGCTCTCTCCCCAGTGTATTCAAACATGGACTGAATGATTACCTGGGCTATCATGGAAAGAGAATGGAGTAGTCTAACTAGAAGACCTATTCCTGAGATTTTATTATTTCATAATAAATTGTATGTTTTAAAAGAATGTTTCCCATTTTAATACCTGACTCTGAGTTCAGTATTATCTGGATAGTCTCGTAAGTCTCTAATGTTAAGAAACTATGTTCTTTATATGAAATACCAAATAAATTCAAAGCATTATTTATGCCTTTAATTACTACTAGATAGCTTTTATTCCACAGACAGCTCTCTTTCAGATAACTGCATGTTAGCTTTGAATTGTTTTGTAGAATTGGTGAAGGAAGAGCATGTTGGAGCTTAGGAAATGCATACACCGCTCTAGGGAATCATGATCAAGCGATGCATTTTGCTGAAAAGCACTTGGAAATTTCAAGAGAGGTATGAAACTAAAACACTGCTATCTGTGCTGTTATGATTCAGAAATTAGCAGGGCAGGGGGAAGCCCTATTATTTCTCTAGATTGCTCCTATGTGACCTAGTAATAAATTTAACTATGTTATTCCCTTGGCCTAAGAACTGCATGAAGTATTTTAATATACAGATCAGAGGTCTGTTTGCATTGGCCTTGATGTAGGAAGACAAGAAGGTTAGGCCAGGCATGGCAGAATGGAAAGATTACTGAAATATGCCCCCCGTCTCTACATGGAAAAGTAGCATGGTATAGAAAGAAAAACATATTTTGTTTTGTAAACATGATTTTTATAATCAAGGATTGGTTCCTGTTACAGTTCTGCCACTTTCTGGCTATTTGAGCTTGGAAACCTTTTCTGAGTCTGATTTCTCTCATTTATAAAATGGGAAGAATAATATCTACCTTGTAAATCATTATAAGAATTAGAGATAGTTATATAAAAGTGCCTAGTGTAATGCTTAGTGCTGGCTTAATATAAACTATTACTATGGAATGGAAACAAAATAAGGAAATTTTAATCATGTGATGCCAAGTTAATGTGTCACAGAATAACCTACATTATTATTAGATATTATAGAAATTAAAAGCAACTAATATTTAGAGAATGAATTGATACAATGTAATTAGCTTTCCTATTGCCATACTTTAGAAATTTCCCTTTCCTTTAAGACAATTATTGAAAAAACCCATTTCGTTCAGTCTCTTAATTCTAATATAACTATTTTCATTTCTCTATATTTTCTTCCAGTTTTAGGTTCACAACATTTTCAGCTAATCTTCACCATTCTTTGTTTTTAAATACTACTCTAAAATATAAATGCTTGTGGTTGTAGGTTGGGGATAGAAGTGGTGAACTAACAGCACGACTAAATCTCTCAGATCTTCAAATGGTTCTTGGTCTGAGCTACAGCACAAATAATTCAATAATGTCTGAAAATATTGAAATTGATAACAGTTTGCATGGTAAGTAATAGGTGTTCAAACCCAATTTCTTTATTCTCAATTACATTACCTGTCACATGTTTACCATATCCAGAGAGAATATGTAACATAGGAAGCTCAACTTTTTATAATACCTTTTTGCTTTACACTAGTCCTATTGATTTGTCAATACAGAATATAGTATTTTCAGCTGTTACCATGAACTTAGGAAAGGTAAAAGTATGCTTATTTTCTTTTGTAAAAATACATTTAAATTCTCTATCTACAGGCTCACTCAAAAATTTGTAAATGTGAAGATGTAAAAATTAAAACATATTGTTTGGTTCTTTTTAATTCAAATGTTTTTACATATTTGATTTTTGTTTAGCTCTTTTCTTCCCAGATTTATTTATTTATTTATTGAGAGAGAGAGTAGGTAGTAGCAAGCAAGTAGCAAGGGAGGGAGAGGGACAAGCAGACTACACTCAATGTGGAGCCTGACGCAGGGCTCCACTTCATGACCCTGAGATCATGACCTGAGCTGAAATCGAGAGTCGGACACTTAACCAACTGAGCCACCCAGGCGCTCCTCCCGTTTAATTTCTAAGGTGATCTCTTAGTATTTTTACTATTTTTTTTAAATTCAGAAAACCTGGGAAATTTTCTTTAGGTAAGCACCTACAGAAAGATTTGCTTTGACATTGCTACAGGGAAAGACATGCTTGAATGTCTCTGTTTCTACATGAAAAAAATTGTACATTTTTTTTTAAAGTAAGCCTTATGCCCCATGTGAGGCTTGAACTCATGACCCTGAAATCAAGAGTCGCATGCTCTACTGACTGAGCCAACCAGGTGCCCCCAAAATTCTACTTCTGATTAAAGAAGTAAAAAGGGACATTAGAGTCACATTTTTTAATATTCTATACATGATTGTGTGAGATCCATTTTACAGATTTTATAGAGAATTAAAAATTCTCAGTCTGATAAAAGTTACCAATACAGATTAATGTTTTGAACTTAGAAGTCAGTGAAAAATAGAGCTTTCATCTCTCATTTCCTTCTCTAAACTCATATAAAAAAAGGAAGAAGGAAGAGAAATTAGCAGCTAGTCATCTGATTAAGACTTGGAAAGAACATTTAGTGAAAGATTCTGAAGTATGGGTAATATATGGAACTGTGTGCCTTGCAACTGAGTAATGGGCTGAAAAGTTTCTCTGTGCTTAATTTTCAAGTAGGGTATGTTGTAATAGCTCTCATATTTTAACAAACTATTACTTGTCCTCATGGACCCCTCTAAATGTAGACCCATTTTTTTGTTCCCACTTATAAACAAACTTGAAAATAGTATTAATGTTCATTTCTTTACTTCTTCACCTCCCATTCTCTGCTCAAGTCACTCTACTTGGGCTTTGGCTTCATCATGACACTGAAACCTTCTCAAGGTTACCAGAAATCTCCATTTTACCAAATCATTGATCAGTTTTCAGATGTCAGGTTACTTGATTTCTCAGCAATGTTTCCTACCACTGATCATTCCCTTCTCAAAATACTTTGCTCATTTGGCTTCTAGGATTACCCTCCTTTTCTGGTTTGCTCTCACATCACTGGCCACTCTCAGGCTTCATTACTCTCTCCTTATCATCTTTCCATCCTTGAAATTTGTGGTGTCCAGAGATCAATTCTTGGACCTCTTCTTCCTTCCCCCTTCCTTCTCTCCCTCTTTTCTTTCTATCCTGTCCTTCCTTCCTTTCTGATTTTATCCTTTTTCCTCTTAACCTATACTCTAGATCAATGTTTCTTTTTCTTTTTTTTTTTTAAGATTTTATTTGTCAGAAGAGAGAGCACAAGCAGGGGGAGCGGCAGGCAGAGGGAGAAGCAGGCTCCCCGCTGAGCAAGGAGCCCGATGTGGGACTCGATCCCAAGACTTTTGGATCATGACCTGAGCCAAAGGCAGAACGCCTAACTGACTGAGCCACCCAGGTGTCCCAAGATTGATTATTTATTTATCTACTTATTTATTTATTTATTTATGAATGACAGCGGGAGCAAGCACGAGCCAGGGGGAGAGGCAGAGAAGCAGACTCCTTGCTGAGCAGGGAGCCTGACACGGGGGCCTGATCCAGGAACCCTGTGATCGTGACCTGAGCTGAAGGCAGACACTTAACTGACTGAGCTACCCAGGTGCCCCTAGATCAGTGCTTCTAATAGAACTTTCTGCGAAGATGGAAATATTGTATACCTAGTCTGTCTAGTACAATAGCTTCTGGCCATATGTGGCTCTTGAACACTTGCAGTGTGGCTAGTGCGAAAGAGGAAATGAATTCTTAATATTAATTGTAATTAGTTAAAAATTTAAAAGCCATATGTGACTGGTGGCTACTATATCAAACAGCACAACTCTAGATGATTTCATTCAGTTGACTGGCTTTTATATCCTCTGTATACTGATGATTTTCAAATTGATATTTCCAGTCATAATTTTTCTCTTACGTTTGAATTCACATATATAACATTTCCATCTGAATGTCTAATTGGCATCTAAAACTTAACATGTCCAAAACAGAGCTCTTGTTTTTTCTTCCCACACATGTTCTTCCTCCAGTCTGCCCCATCTCAGGAATTGGTACCACCATTCATCCAAGTATTCAGGCCAAATACCTATGGGTCATCCTTGTTCCCTTTCTTCCACTCACTTCCTACATCCAACCTATCAGAAACCCTACCTTCAAAATATATGCCTAATCTCTCTTACAGTGTACACTGCAACAATCTTAGTACAAGCTACCAACATTTCCCAGCAGGGTACTAGCTTATCAACTATTTCTCTTGCTTCCATTCTTGATCCCTCACACTGACTTTTTCACGTAGCAGCCAGAGTGCTCTTTTAAAATGTAAATCATATCATATTATTCATCAGTTCAGAACCCTCCAATGACTTCTCATCACACCTAGAAACCAAATCCTCAGTTGTCACCATGGTTAAAAGGCCTTATGTAATCTTACCTACTTCTTCAACATCACTTCCTACCACTCCCCGTTTGCTCATTGTAGCTGCATGAAGACAAGTATTTTTTGGCCTCTTTTGTTCATTGCTGTATTTCCAGTGCAAGGAAAAGTCTGCTGGCTAAAGGAACTGCAAGGAAACATCTATTTCTGGTGTTGGCTCAGGGTAGAGAAAAGGAGTGTTCCTTAAGAATCTGAATTCATAAGCCTGCCTACATACTGGTTTGGAATTTGATTTATTCTACCTGCACAGTGAAAGAAACCCCAATCCAGTGAAGTACTTTGGGTTAGAAATGCTCCTGGAGACTTAGCAGAAGACCAGGTATTTTTCTGGAGGAAAGCATCTTTGATCCAGGTCTATAAAGGTTCACAACAACAAAATTACCAAACACATAAAGAAACAAGCCAACATGAGTAAGACAATAAACAAAAAGCAAAATTAGATCACCAAGATCTTTTTAGATGTTGGAATTATCAGATACAGAATACAAAATAACTGTGGTTAAATATTTATAGAAGTAACGAAATTAAAACAAAGGAATAACAAAAATGATCAGGCAGATTTGAAGAAAATAATAGCTTACATTATTAGTGCTTACTATTCCAGGCACTGATTTAAGTGCTTTTCCTGTTTTAACTCATTTAATCCTAACATCTCTAGGAGGTAAATTTCTGTTATCCCTAATTTACAGATGGGGACGTGGAGACAGGAGAGGTTAAGTAGACTTCCCAAGGGTTATCTATGTAGGTAGTAAAGATGGGAGTTAAACCTAGGCAGTCTGGCTTCAGAGTCTATGTCTTATCTGAGATTTATGTCTTAATGTGATTTTAACATACCTCTTATTAACTGATAGCTATATATCAGGAGTCAGATATCAGTAATAGAGGATTTAACAAGCACAATTAATGGGTTGGACCTAATGTAGCATCTTTTCAACATTGTGTGTTTGACATATTAATGAGTTGTAAAATCAGTTTCAGAGGTTGCAACTATCATTGCATGTGTGCGCACACACACACAAATGGGTTATCATACAAGATAGATAAGAGTAAGTACTGTTCTGTGAAGATTTGTTACGTATTTGTGTAAGTGTAGTCAGGGTTGTAATGCAAATGTATCTCTTAATATATGTCACTGTTAAAAAGTGAAAAACATTGGGAGCACCTGGGTGGTTCAGTTGGTTAAGTGTCTGCCTTCCGCTCAGGTCATGATCCCAGGGTCCTGGGATCGAGTTCCGTGTCCCGGCTTCCTGCTCAGCAGGAAGCCTGCTTGTCACAAAATGATGAACAGAAGAAACACAAATAGCCCATAAATACATGAAAAGATATTTAATTCATTTAATCAGGGAAAACCACAGTGAGGTAATACTGGAAACCTATTAGGAGGCTGAAAATTAAAAGGTCTGAGAATACCAGTATTGAAATGTGGGTAATGGAAACTCTTACTCAGTGTTGACAGTGATAGAATTATGTCTATTCTCAAGAACAATCTGGCAACATTCTGGGAAAGTTGAGGATGTACTAAGCATATGACCAGCAGTTCCACTCCAAGTTACATACCGCTGATACCCAAACTGGAAGAAACTCTTGCTCATGCCACTAAGATATTTTTCCAAGAATCTCTGTAGTAGTACTTGCTTATATGATTTAAAAAAAAGAAATGGAAGCAACCTATAAATCTGTCCCCAGTAGAACAGATAAAAGAATTTCCTAGTCCTAAAATGGCAATGAAAAACTAAACTACACATAGCAACTTGGCTGAATCTCACAAACGTAAGGTTGCTCAAAGGAATCAAGTTAGATATATATATATATATATATATATATATATATATATATATATATATATAGTATGAGAGCATTTATTATAAGCTATATCGCTTAGAGATCTATTCATATGTAATGAAAATAAAAATTACGAGGAGGCGGCAAGTTATAGGGAGAGTCACACAGAGGAGGAGTTAATGTGTTGATAATGGTTTATTTCTTAAGCTGAGTATTAGGTATCATATATTCCTTATGTCTTTAAAATATTGCTTAATCTTTAAAAGACTGGGTATGAAAATTCTGTATTTTAATGATTAAAAAGAAATTTGAGAACCTTTTTATCAAACTTTATCATCTAATGTGATCTTAAAATGGAAATGAGTAACTTAGAAAAGAGTAACAACAGGGGCACCTGGCTGGCTCGGTCAGTAGAGCATGCAACTGTCAATCTCAGGTCATGAGTTCAAGCCCTACATTGGGCATGGAGCCCACTTAAAAAAAAAAGATAGTGTAAGAATGTTATTTTGATTCTTAGCTCAAAATTGAAGGCCTAAAGCCTTTTCTTTAGGTTTCTACTTACTTAAACTGCCCTACAGTTTTTTTTCCTACTATAATCATTTTAGTGGGTTTTTTTATTTTTATTTTTTCCAGTTTTATTGAGAAATGTTTGATATACATGACTAAGTTTAAGGTGTATAAGCGTGATGACTTGATTTACATACGTAGTGAAATGATCACCACAGTAGGTTCAGCTAACATCCATCTTCTCATACAGATAGAAAAGAAAGGAGAAATGAAAACAAATTTTCTTCTTGCGATGAACACTCTTAGGACCCTCTTAGCAGGTTTCCTAAGTATCATAGAGCAATGTTAACTACAGTCATCATGTTGTACATTATATCCCTAGTACTTCTTTACCTTATAACTGGAAGTTTGTACCTTTTGATTATGTTCCACTCCCCTAATCCTCTCTGCTTCTGGTAAACCACAAGTTTGATCTCTTTTTCCTAGTTTGGGTTTTTTTTTTTTTTAAGATTCCACTATAAGATCATACAGGATTTGTCCATCTCATTTTTTTTTAAGTCTATGTGGATAATATAAAACCAGTTATTATAAAACGCCTTTTCTAAATTAAGGGGTAATGTTAGTAACCAAAGTTAGTTTCCAACCAAAATGTAACTTCCTTACATCAAAGCATTTTAGAGGGAGTGGGTATTCTATTTTTATGTAGTTGGTATGGAAAATTATTATTCTTAAAAGAATACATGTTTGTACATGTTTCCTCCTTCCATATGGGCTCGTGTAACAGACTTTAAAATTGAATAACCTAGTGATGCTGAATTTGTAGTCTTAAGGGCTCCCCAGTTTATTTGAATTAATTTTTTTTTCAAAGGTGCACGCCCCAAGTTCGGACGCCGACACAGTATGGAAAACATGGAACTTATGAAGTTAACACCAGAAAAGGTTGGCGGCTTTTATGTTTTAAATTTCTTGAACTGTTATCAAATATTAAATAACTTTTAACTTAAATGGTTTAAATAAACCTTGTCTTGTATAGGTATCACTTTAAAATTTTCCTTTAAAAAGAATCAGAAAAAAGTTCAGTCCAAAAAGAATGTGTATAGTATGTTGCCATCTGTATAAGAAAAGCATTATGCATATATATCCTTTGTAGATGCATAAAACCTTTCTGGAAGAATATGTAAGAAACTTGCTAACAACAATTGCTTCTGGGAAAAGTACTGGGTGTCTGAGTTAGGAGAGATTTACTTTATATAATTTGAACTGTTTGAATATTTTAACATGTACATGTATTTCACGTATTTTTTTTAATTAAAAGATCAGAAAGCTTTTTTTTCCCAACTAAATAATGGCAATGTAATTGACAAGGTTAATATTTATGATCAAGCTAGTTTTTCTGGCTACACTTCTTAAAAGCATTTTCTTAACTAACAACTTTTTATTCAAGATCTTGTCTAGGCTTTTTTTTTTTTTAAGTAACAGAGAAGGGACTTTAGAAAAAGGTTATTTTTGTCTTTATTATTTTTATTAAGTTTTTTGTTTTAATTCCAGTATAGTTAACATAGTGTTATGAGTTTGAGGTGTACAATATAGTGATTCAGTACTTCTATACATTACTCAGTGCTCATCACACTAAGTGTACTCTTTAATCCCCATCACCTATTTTATTCATCCCCCCATCCTGGAAAAAGGTTTTTGAAGAAAAGAATCTAGGCTGCTTTCTTACACCTTCATTTAACTTAATTTTACATTGTTAAAGTAGGCTGTTGTTCTTTTATGGTATATTTTATAAAATGCTTCTTATAAAATAGATTCATCATAATTTTAGAAAATTTCAACAAGAAAATTAAAATTATCAGTAATCCCACCTCCCAGTGCTATTTATTCATCTTGCATTTTCATATGAATACTATCATATTTACAGATATTTTATGTGTAGTTAATATATCATTTCCATGTCATTAAACATTTTTCTGCCCTATTATAACAAGCGTATGATTTTTTTTTCCAGGATCTATTTTATTTATTTATTTATTTTTACTTTAAATTTTTATTGTTATGCTAATCACCATACATTACATCATTAGTTTTTGATGTAGTGTTCCATGATTCATTGTGCATAACACCCAGTGCTCCACGCAGAATGTGCCCTCTTTAATACCCATCACCAGGCTAACCCATCCCCCCACCCCCTCCCCTCTAGAACCCGCATGATTTTTTAATATTGACTTTTTTGTGGGAATAGTTTTCATAAGACTAACATCTAATTGATTTGAACTTATATCCAATATTCTTTTATTCCAAACAATTAGAGTTGTTCAAAAACTCTGAAGGACTTCATGATTTCCCCAGTATCTACCTCTTAACTTGTCAGTTCTCAAAGCTGTCCAATCTGCAGATTATTTTTTTTAAAAAACAACTTTAAAGTTAATTTAGGCCTCTTATTCTTGTAGGAACGTACTAATAAGTAGCAAAATTAATTTGCTTCCTGTGCCTAGTTCTGTAGTGGTACTAACCATAGATTCCATTAAGAAGCTAACCAGATTCAACCCTGTAATTTTCCAAGAGCCAAATAATGACAGGTTTTATCTTTAAAATATGTTTGGAATTAGTTCTGTTTTCTTTTCCTCATCATAAAGTTGCATTAGAGTTCATTATTTCATTAGTCTCAACAAAGTAAAGAAGCATACATAAAGAAAAAAGGGAGATGTCTGTGTCAGAGATGCTTCTTGGGAAAGAGTACAACTGCAGGGAGCTCTTGAGACTCTGAATGTCAGAAAAATGCCTTTTTGCTACTCTCACATTTGATTGGTAGTTCTGCTTACTATGGAATTATTGGTTGGAAATAATTTTCCTTCATAATTTTGAGGACATTGTTCCAGTCTCTATTCTTCAGTGTTTTTGTTGAGAAGTCCAAATAAGTAAATAGGAAACATCTAAAATTTTTCACATTTCGAAACACTTGGGATTTAGGTGGGTTTTATGTTCTGACATCTGGGGCCATCTAGTTTTTCTCGAATCAGTAGACCCTGAAGTCCACTCTAGCAATAGTTTCCCCTTATCACCTGTATGAGAAAAGGAATGGGGGCGGGGTAAGGGGGGTGAGGCTTCATTTGATGCAGATAGCTGGCTTGGTTCACTCACTAGCTGCCTGTCTCATTCAGGTAATGTAGCCTCAAGGCAGGACTTACTCTAATTTGTGCCTTATGATGTAACTATGAAAATGTGTTTTATCAAATTACCCGTTATTACATAACATAGACCTTTGGACTTACTTGCAAACACTTAAGACTGAAATGTTAAAGCTGCAAATGTCACATAGCTACTATACATACTGTAGGTTTTCCTTTCCACTCAGTAAATATTTGTTATATTGAGTCTGCTATTTAGAGGTTAAGTATATTTAAACCAGGTCTAGTCCTATATAAATTGTGATTAGGTGTTTTGCCTATTGAGAATTTAGTAGTTAATGAAAACAAAAAATATCACCAAAAAATTGATACTGCTATATAAATTTTAGATGTTAATTTCTACAGTTAAAAATTCTACATACACCCAAAATTTCCAGTTGTAACAAATTAACTCATACCCAGAATAAAACTTGCTCTTTCCCTGACCATTCAAATTTTATTTTTATGGGATTTTGGCAAACTCTGTTTTCTTACTCTTAAGTTCTTAAAAGCCATCATTTTAATGTTTTGGTAATGAGAAGTCCACAGTATACATTTGGTACAAGCTGTTGAAAATACACTGGCAAAAAGGAATTTATTAAGAGATCTAGCTGCCTCCCCCACACACACACTAATGAGTGGCGATGGCAGGTTAATATTATAGAAAACCAGAGATAGCTTTGTTTTTTTCATGTCCTGCTTTCCATTTATGTTCATAATTTTGTAGGTACAGAACTGGAACAGTGAAATTCTTGCTAAACAAAAGCCTCTTATTGCCAAACCTTCTGCGAAGCTGCTCTTTGTCAACAGATTGAAGGGGAAAAAATGCAAAACTAATTCCTCCACTAAAGTTCTCCAAGATGCCAGTAATTCCACTGATCACCGAATTCCAAATTCTCAGAGAGTACGTATAAAATAAGATTTTGAGTGCTGTGCTTTGAGTACCTACATTTTAGTATTCTTGTATTGAAACTGAATATTTGGAAACTTAAGACATTTGATACAAAATGCCATTTTTATTCAAAGAAGTCTTCCGTATTTCCCTATTTTTTCTGTCTTCTTCAAAGCTAGAAACTAATTTCTCCATTCATGGATATGTTGCTTCACTGCTTTGGACAGTAATTGTTTGTCCCTATTTGCAAAAATACTACCTTTTATTTTACTGCAGTGTCTCCCAGTAGAACTGTCCTTCTTTCAGCTTAGAAGTTAGAATAAATTAAATTTAGATGTTCAAGGATTTTAAAATACTCATTTAAAATAGTATCTGCTAGCATCAACTTCTATTTATTTATACTGAAATAATAATAGAGTCAAAAACTATTTTGATGAAAGATGACCACAGGAATCAGGTTATTAAATATAACTTAAAATATTTATAAATATCAGGAGTATCTCTAGCTAAGCTATACTCTGATAAAAGAATCAAAATAAATTACAAAGATGATTTTTCTAATTATCAAGTCCATTTTTCAATGAGAGATTTTGAAAAAAGTGTGTTAGTCTTTTAATTTTTTTTTATGGACTTCTCTTGGTTCTCTTCTCAGCATTCCATCTATGACTGTACCCTGGTAGTGTCCTTTGTCTTGACTTTTATCACTAGTTTTTTACCTATGTATGACTAACAAAAGGAAGCATTATGGGATATACAAAAATGGCTCAGGAATATTTTTATAGATCTAGAGCAGATCTCAAAGGCATACCTTTGTTCAAGGTTTGAGGTCTTAACTAAGCCCACTTAGCCCAACTGAAAATGTCCATACTTCTGGAACCTCCTGTGTTTTGATGTTCAGAATTTTGAATTTGAGCCGTTTTTGCCCCAAGGAAGGTCTTGTGATTAGTGCATCTGACTAGTTTATGTACATACTTCCTCCCAATCCTCAAACTGAACATGTTAAAAACTACTGTCTCAACACCTCCTGTTTGCCTTATTTATGCCATGTTCTCCATCCCCCAAGTCAGGAACCCAGGTGTCATTCTAGACTCCCTCTCCTTCACTAACCACATCCGGTCAATCCTTCCATCCCTCAGATCTGCCTCACCCCCTCCTTCTGAAAATAAACTTCTGCTACTATGTCTTAGTTCTTAGGGCACTACTGCAGCTCTTACCCAGATGTTTGGAATAGGCGCCTGAACTGATCACTTTCGCTGCATTAACCTCTGCAACCATTCAGAGGGGCCAGTTCTGTTTCTGTACAGAACTGTTTAAAATTATTACCAATGCTCTTACTTTTCATGTAGGATAACTTGTTAGTATGTCATACAGAGGCCCTTGTTTTGGTGGCTTCTTCCTCTTCACCTCCCCTACCCCCTATAGTTCATTATCCCCCGAGTACTACAGACCTTTGGAATTGCATATTAATCAGTATGAAGCATATCTCCCCAGCAAATGCTAATTCATTCTTCAGGAGCCAACTCAAATATCACAGTTCCCCCTGTGTCCCTTAAGAATTAGTTCTGCCCTTCTCCTGAGGCCTATAACACTTTATATAAATGTACCTCTACTATAATATTTACATCATTATGAAAAACAAAATACTTTTTTGTTAAACCCTGCAACTGTCATTTTAAGCTTTGAAGCTTTCCAAGTAAAATATGACCGGTTCCCCTCTGCCCCAAATATTCATTTATTTGAAGTTTATTTTTTCAATATCTCCAAATCTTTAATAAAGGACCTTGGAAATTATTCTTTCTTAGTTTGCAGTTCTTAGATTAGTTTACTTTTAAATTCTGTTGTAGAATCTTAGAACTGAACTTTGAGCCTGGTATCACTAATATTTACGTAATTCATTCAGTATCTGGAGCAGTTCCCCAGAATATGAGGTACATTTTTTTTTAAGATATTTATTTGAGAGAGAGCACAAGCAGGGTGGAGGGGCAGAGAGAGAAGCAGACTCCCCACTGAGCAGGGAGCCCGATGTGGGACTCGATCCCAGGACCCTGGGATCATGACCTGAGCCGAAGGCAGATGCTTAGACTGAGCCACCCAGGTGCCCTGAGGTACATTCCTTTAGCCCTGGAAATACAAGGATTAAAAACTATACATAACTAGAATAAAATATAACTAGAAATGCTTTTTGTTAGTTGGACTGAAATAACTTTATTACCAAGGTTGCCATTTTGAATTCTTTATAATGAAAGTGTCAATTTTTATTTTTAATCTTCATCCTTTACCTTTTGCATACGTATCATGATATTGTTCCATTGATGATCTGATGCTAATGCTGGAATATTTAGATTTTCTCTCAATATTTCAGAAAGTCAGTACAGATACTATTGGAGATGAAGGGTTCTTTGACCTGGTAAGCCGATTTCAGAGCAATCGGATGGATGATCAGAGGTGCTGCTTACAAGAACAGAGCTGTGGGCCAGCTTCAACTGCAGCTTCTTCCACTCCCCCTAGAGTGATGTTAAAAAGTGAGTTATCTGTGCTTCTACCCCCATTTTAATAGTTCCTTGTGATACTCTTGTGATTTCTTTCTGAGAGTTTAGATCTCATCAGAGCAAGCACAGTAAATGAGCCTGAACCCAGGTATATTGGAAATGCTGGTATTTCTTCAGTTCAAAACAAAGTTTTGTTTCAGTTTCCCTAGGTTTATCTGTATTTTAGTCCACCGCACTTTCTACTAACTATAGCATACTGTCTCCCTAGATTCTTTGGGACTGGGAAAAAAATCTAAAAGTAAAAATAGTGGAGCGCCTGGGTGGCTCAGTCGTTAAGTGTCTGCCTTCAGCTCAGGTCATGATCCTGGGGTCCTGGGATCGAGCCTCACATCGGGCTCCCTGCTCAGCGGGAAGCCTGCTTCTCCCTCTCCCACTCCCCCTGCTTATGTTCCCTCTCTCGCTGTGTCTCTCTCTGTCAAATAAATCTTTAAAAAAAAAAAAAATAGGAAAAAATTTAAGTTATATATACCTTATAATTCTATGTAAAACACCAACGCTTCCTATTTGGATTTTGAAAAGCCAGTGCAGACTGAAGAGGAACCTATGACTAAGGCTAAAGCTAAGGTCTGCCTGAGCCGTAAAAAGGTCTAAAATGGGTTACTTAAAATTTTCTACTTCAGCTACCAAAAGACTTCCTCTGCCATAGACTAGGACTTATCAGCAACACTCATCTCTTAGTTAGCTAAATGGTTCCTATCCAGGGCATAGAATAAAAACACTGTCTCATTCATCCTCACATGAGAAATTATCTAAGACAATTTATTACCTTCCAAAATCTAGCTCCAGATCTTATAAAGTACAGTTTTTTTTTAAAGTAGGCTCCACATCCAGCATGGAGCCCAACACAGGGTTTGAACTCATGACTGTGAGATCAAGACCTGCGCCAAGATCAAGAGTCAGACAGTTAACCGACTGAGCCAGCGCCCCTTGTAAAGTTACATTTTGAGTGGGCATTAGATAAAAGTAAATACAGTCAAATTTGAGTAACATCGAACTGGATCATCTGAAGTCCTCTGGGATTCATTCTTCCCTCCCTGCCCATCTAGTCAGGCCCCAGCCTATCAGTGACTCTGAGTGACAGAGATAAAACAGGGGGACAGAGTGGATGCTGGGACTGAACAAGGCAGAAAGGAGTTATATGTGTATTAAAAATATGCTTAAATATTTTTGTAATGTTATGGATTTTTTTCCTATTCATAGCATCATCTGTTTCCATGGTATCCCCCAACACGGATGAGTTTTTAGACCTTCTTGCCAGCTCCCAGAGCCGCCGTCTTGATGACCAGAGGGCCAGTTTCAGTAATTTGCCAGGGCTTCGTCTGACACAAAACAACAATAAGTCTGTCCTTGGCCACCTGATGACTAATGACAACAAAGAGCCTGATGAAGACTTCTTTGACATCCTTGTAAAATGTCAAGTATGTATGCATATTTGTGTCAGTCTGTGTATGGCTCAGATGCTGTTGGGAGCTTTGTCAGTATTATAATTCTAATTTGGGAAAGGCTCATTTTGTACCAGGGACACACTTATTATTCAAGGGTCCATCACACACTATATAGATCCCTGTGATGGCTTTTTATTTTATTTTGGGTGGTGAGGCGAGGTGAGATGTGGATGACTCTCTGAGCTGCGGTGGACAGGAGACTGTGAAGGGTATAAAAGAAGACCTAGAAAAGAGCCCCTCTTAAAAAAAAACAAAACCCTCTTTTCTAAGGAGGGAGAAAAGCATGTTAGGAGAAAGCATTGGGAGCAGCCAGTGATTAATATGCGAAGGGTCTAGCTGGGGCCCTTTTTAGAGAACTTTAGGAGTAATGCACATATTGAGATAGCTTTCATTTTTTAGTTATTTTAATAATTATTTGCCAAAATGGTTAAGGAATAGCTCAAATGGCTTGAAGAGGACCACAAGAAAAATAACCATTATTTTTACTAAAGAGACATTTCCCCTGCCCAACCCTAATTCTGTGTGTGTGTTCTCATGCATAAAAAGATGAGGCAATGACACATATACTACCTACCTGTCATTCATTCAACAGAAAATTATTGAGCATCTATAATGTTCTCCGCACTATTCTAGACATTTGAGACACATACTTGGCTTTTAAAGGATCCTACATTTTAGTGTGGAGAGATAGATAGTAAATAAGTCTGTACACGTGTATAGATATTCTACGTCAGGTACTGATAACGTGCTATAAAGAAAATTAAAGCAAGATAAAGGAGTTGGGGTATCCAGGGGTGCTGGTGGTTAGGGAAGATGTTTCAGGATTGGCATATGAACAGACATCTGCATGAGGTGAAACAGTCAGCCATGTGAATATTTGGTGAAAGTGTTCCATGCAGAGACAACAAGTCTCTTCTTGGATATAAAAGCTTAGCAGGTTCAGGGAATGACAAGGTAGCCAGTACGACTGGCATGGAGTGAATAACGGATAAGGGAGAGTGGTAGGAGATAAGGATGGAGAAATAACCAGCCTGTATCTCAGAGGCCATGATGAGGTCTTGTATTCCAAATGTGATAGGAAGACATTGGACAGTCTGAAAGATCATCCTGGCTACTGCTGAAAGCATGTGGAGTGGCAAAAGGTGTAGTAGAAAGACCAGCTAGAAAAACCAATATGGGTAATTCAGGCAGAAGATACTGGTGACTTTGACTAGTGCAGTGGTGGCAGTAGTAGTGATGATAAGCAGTCAGAATAGGGATATATTTTTGAAGTTATGGTTGACTGGAAAGACCTGTTAATAAACTGGATGGAGGGTATAAGAATCAAGGAGGGCTCCTATCTTTTTGGCTTTGCACTGAGTCAGTGAATGGTATGGTTTACTGAAATGGAGAAGAGAAACCGGTTTGGGAAGAAAAAGCAGTTCTACTTTAGATACAGCAATTTGAGTTATGTAAATAGATACTCAAGTGGTGCTGTTGAGTAGGCAATTGGATATAAAAAAATCTGGAGTCCCAGACAGAAAAGATTTTTGGGAGTCATCAACATATAGCTGGTATTAAAGCCTTGGAAAGACAGTATCTAAAGAATAAAGAAATAGGAAGACTAAGCCCTGGGAATCCCAAAATCTAACTGAACAGAGGAAGGTAAGCCAGCAAAGCAGCAGTCAGCCCAGTGATAGAAGCAAACTGAAGAAAGTGTTTTAAGAACACTGCTAAGAAGCCAATTAAGATGATGGCTGATCTCCTAGATTTGGCAACATGGAGATTAGTCATTTTGAAAGATACTGTTTTAGTGACATGATGGGGACAAAGGATTGAGGGGGTTGAGAACATGAAAAGTGTAAAAGGGGAGATAGTGGGGTTTTTTTTATTTTGGGAGTTAATACTGCATGTATGCTGACAAATGATCAAGTAGACGGAGGAACGAGTGATGCAGCACAGTATGGGATAGTTGAAGTTTTTGCACAGGTGAGAAGGAAAGCAGAGTGAGTATCTGTCTGCAGATTTGGGGGTAGTTGTATGTAGGAATTCTCTCTGGTGGCTTTTATTTTGTTAGCAAAGTAAGAAGTAAGGCCATTAGTGGAGATTGTGGAACATAGTTTCTTTGGTAATAGAATTATTGAGCTACCCTGAGGACTCATTTGAAATAAGTCACTGAAATAGGTCAGTAGAGTGGTATATTTTCCTTGGGTATAACCAACTACTTAAGGATACAGAGATTTAATCAAGGTCACTATTTTGACAGAATAGGATGGAGGGGGAGAGAAGTACATACCAGGGAATTACTTTAATAAGGGACTTTGGAACCTAGGCTGCATCTAAGAAGAGAAGTATGGAAGTGAAAAGTAACAGTGATCCCAGTGGCTTTAAGAAATACTGAAGACACGTCCCTAATAACAGACCATCAACATATATGAAGCAAAAATTAACAGAATTGAAGGGAGAAATGAACATTTCTAAAAATAGCTGAAGGTTTCAAGACCCCCCCTGTCAATAACAGGACAACCAGGAAGATGATAAACTTGAACAACACAATAGGCTAACTACCTCTTACAGAACATACATTCTTCTCAAGTGCACATGGGATATTCTCCAGGACAGACCATATGTTAGGGCCACAAAGTAAGTCTCAACAATTTTAAAAGACAGATACCATACATAGAAGATACTCTGACCACAAAAGGATGAAGTTAGAAGCAATAACAGAAGGAAAAATGGAGAATTCACAAATTTGTGTAAATTAACCAGTAGGTAAAGAGGAAATCACAAGGGAAATTAGAAACTACCTAGAGACTGATGAAAATAACACAATATTCTAAAACTTTGGGATGCAGTGAAGTCAGTATTCAGGAAAATTTATAGCTGTAAGAAGGAAAATCTCAAATTAACAACCTAACTTCACAGCTTAAGGGGCTAAAAAAAGAACTAAACCTAAAACTAGCAGAAGGAAGGAAATGGAGAACAAAAAATAGGAAAAAAAAATCAAATCTTAAAGCTGGTTATTAGAAAAGTTTAACAAAACTGGTAAACATTTAATACAACTGGTAAACATTTAATTAGAGTTAAGAAAAAAAGCCTCAAATTACTAAAATTAGAAACAAAGGTGGGGACATTACTCATATTCTACAGAAATAATAATTTTAGGAGAAGACTGTGAATGATTATATGCCAACAAGTTGGATAACCTATAAGAAATGGATAAATAACTAGAAACACAAAATTGTCCAACACTCAATCATGAATAGAAAATAGACCCATAATCCATAAGATTATATCAGTAATCAAAAATCTCCTGACAAAGAAAAGACCTGGACCTGATGGCTTCACTGGTGAATTCTATCAAACATTTAAAGAAGAACACCAGTCCTCATACTCTTCCAAAAAACTGAAGAGAAGGGAATACTTCCTATTCCTAAGTCATTCTATGAGGCCAATATTGTCCTGATACCAAAGCCAGACAAGACACTACAAGAAAACTTGAGACCAATATCCTTTTTGAATATAGATGCAAAAATCATCAGTAAAATACTAACAAACAGAATCCAGTAAACAGACTATACACCACGCCCAGGAGGGATTTGTTCCTGGAATGCAGGGATGGTTCAACATAGGGGAATCAATCAGTGCAATACATACATATTAATAGAATGAAAGCGGAAAAAAAACACTTGATCATCTAAATGAAGAAAAAGCATCTGACAAAATTCAACACATTTTCATGTTAAAAACACTCAACAAACTAGGAATAGTAAGAAACTACCACAACATAATAAAAGTCATTTATGAGGGGTGCCTGGGTGACTGAGTCGGTTGTGGTGTCTGACTTGATTTCAGATCAGGTCTCAGTATTGTGGGATCGAGCCCCATGTGGGGTTCTGTGCTCAGCACGGAGTCTCCTTGTCCCTCTCCCTGTGCCCTTCACCCTGTGCACGTGCACACATGCACGTGAGTAGATTAAAAAAAAATGATTTATGAAATATCCACAGCTACCATCATACTCAGTGGTAAAAGAAAAAAACTATTCTCTAAGATCAAGACAAGGAGTCCACTTTCACCACCTCTATTCAACATAATACTGGAACTTCTAGTAGAGCAATTAGGCAAGAAAAAAAAACCAGATTGGAAAGGAAAAAAATTATCTCTGTTCAGAAATGACAGTCTTAGATACAGAAAACCCTAAAGATTTCACCAAAGCCCACAAAAAAACCCTGTCAGAACTAAGAAACAAATTCAGCAAAATAACAGGATACAAAATTAATATCCAAATATCAGTTGTGTTTCCTGATACACTAACAATGATGAACAAGTTATTACAAGTTATTGGGGGGGGGGAAATTAACAATTCTTATAGTGTCAAAAAGAATAAGCTACCCAAGAATGAACTTAACCAGGGAGGTTAAAGACTTGAACAGTGAAAACTATAAAATATTTCTGAAAGACATGAAAACCTCATAAATAAAATGGAAAAAAATCTCACGTTCGTGGATTATAAAACTTAATATTGTTAAAATGCCAATACCACCCAGACTGTAATCTACAGATTCAATGCATTCCTTATCAGAATGTAAATAAGGTTTTTTACATAAACAGAAAATTCCACCCTGAGATTCCACAGGAACCCAAATAACAAACAATCTTGAGCAAGCAGAACAAAGTTGGAGGCCTCACATATCCTGATTTCAAATTTTACTACAAAGCTACAGTAATCAAACAATTATGGTGCTGGCATAATGACAGACATATACACCAATAGGAAAGACAGCCCAGAAATAAATCCAATATGTGGTCAAATGATTTTCAGCAACAATTATATGACTATTAAATGGGGAAAGGATTCTCATCAACAAATGATTCTGGGAAAACTATCCACATGCAAAAGAATGAAGCTGGACCCTTACCTAATACCATATATAAAAACTGATTCAGAATGGATCAGAGACCTAAATGTAAGAGCTAAGACTGTAAAATCTGTA